GAGGAATATGGGGAGTAGGGGTTGTTCATGGGAAGAGGAAAGGGGTAAGGTGGGCTTCGCCGGCGGGGGAGGGGTTGTTTGCGCCGGTGAGACCTGCCAGCCGGGGAGTGGGTTAGGTGTCGGCAGCCATATGGGGTCGGGCGCTGGTGGCAGCGGTGGCTGGGCTGGTGGAGGTTTTTTTAATTTTTTTAAAATTCTTTTAAAGTTTTTTTTTAATTTTTTATTTAAAATTTTTTAATTTTTAATTAATTATATTATTTATTTTGATCAATCACGTCTAGACACGTGTCAGGTGACTTGTTATAATTAATAATTAATAATTAATAATAATTATTATTAATAAATAATAATAATATTTATAATAATTATTATTATTATAATTATTATACAACAACAACAACAATAATAATAATAATAACTAGGTCTAAAAAAAAGAAAATAATAACAACTACTCTGCTCTACTCTGTTGAAATCTGCTCTGCTGTGCTCAGAAGCTCAAAAGAACATGGTCTACTTATATTAAAACTACAATTCATGCACCATACAACCGGTTATACCTATCAAGGTACAAGTGGCTATAAAAGGTACAAACGACTGTAAAATTTGCTCATTTGATTTAAATGAGCAAAACTTGTTAGAGTTAGTGACATAAAAATTTAACTTTGCTTATTTCTATTTAAACTAGTACAAATAATTTGGGTTGATGTTTTGAAATAATTATTGTTAAGGTGATATAAAATCTTACTTTTGTCTATTCTTTTTTTTATTATTTTTTTATTATTTATTTTTTTTACATAAGTTTAAACACATAAACTAAACAACATTATTCAAAGAAAATAAACTATTATTAGATGTGGTTGCAAGGATAAACTTTTGTCTATTCATGGCCCGTAGTTGTAATAGGGAATAAACAAGAACAAAAGTTTGAACAAATTTGCTAAATTTCTACACATGAGTATAACAAATTAAATGTGCTCATCTTCAACAAATTACAAAAATAATGGCTCATTTTACAAATAAACCATAATTATAAATTAATGAAAAAGAAAAACAAAACAGAAATTCGTACTTGTAGGCATCATGCGATGCGCGCCTACCTAAGCATGTTGTGAATATGCTTGGCACTCGTAGGAAGTGGGAATTGACATATACGATTAGGGACAATGATTAGGGACGAATAAAGTAGGGAGCCGCCAACAAGTTTTTAAGGAACATGTAAATTGTTCACGGATCATTTAAAGGCAACCACGATAAGAGACAACGATAGGCAACAACGATTGACCCATGAAAGTTACACCCCATTCATAATCCATGAGATTACTACATATAGTTCGAAACCACGAAAGGAGGATCGAGGATGATTGTACAAAGTAAGTCATCACATTCGCCCGTATTGGCCTTTACTCGATTCCTATAGTGAAAAGTATTCATTCGATCTTAAAAGCACACAAACAAAGATTCAATCTGCTCCAAACTAATATTAAGTTAAATGGTCGAATGTTATGCAACATATAATTCTAAATATCGTGATCACTTGATTAAACAACAAGATTAAAAAGGATCCTAAACCGGTCTTCCAAATTATCTTATTAGGCGTTATATTCAATTACATATACTCCGGGGAGTGATTAAGGAAGGAATGGTGTAATTAGGAAAATAGGTTTAAGGCTTAGAATATGAGAGAGAGAGATTAGAATGTGTGTTGGTGTCCCGAAGCTGTGAAATTAGCTTCGTATTTATAGAGGAAATGGGAAGGGTGAGGTCTAGAAACCCTAGAAATGAGTTTTCCGTAGAAGGAATAAACCCTAGAAATTGTCGCGTCACGTCGCAAATTGCCGTGACAAGGTATAATTTGCCGTGGCACGGCATTTCTGTCGTGGCACGACACATGCCTTTTCTGGAATTCCATCTAAATTCATCTTTATCTATTTATTTAACATTAAGTATGTGATAATTAGGCGTCGTTTTAGTGTTCCGGGCTTATTTCAGATTTAGGGTTTTAATATTTATTAATCGAGCTTAATTAATAAATAAAATGAAATGGATTAAAATGGTTTGGGCTAGAATGAGGATTGGACAGAGTTTGAATAAATACTTGGACTGAAAATGTGGACTGATTTGAATGTTGTGTTTGATTAAAAAAGGATTTTATGCACTCCCGAGATTAAATACTCGACCCGACCAATAATGACGGTGAAAAATTGTTCATCATCGGGTTTGGTTTTGAGGAGACATTTTTAGGTGTTTACAGTACTAGAGAAAGAAGTGCATAAAAATAATTCAAAAATAAATTGGAAGATTCTTATCATGCAAATATGGTGAATGAAGTTTGAAAGTGAAATAGGAAAAAAAATAAATTAATAAAATAAAATAAAAAGAGTATTATCTATTATGTATTTAGAATAATAAATAAGAAATAAAATTAGGGAGAGAGAGAGAGAGAGAGAGAGAGAGAGAGAGAGAGAGAGAGAGAGAGAGAGAGAGAGAGAGAGAGAGAGAGAGAGAGAGAGAGAGAGTATTACTTCGTATAAACATAGAGAGTATTACCATGTTCTTTTCACCTTATTTTTGCTGATTAGAAATTATTTTATTGAACAAAAATTATTATTTTACTTAACATAATTTATTTTTACTTAACTGACATTATTTTTACTGATACTCTATTAAAATTGTTCTTTAAAGTTACTAATTTCTACTGACTAAAACTTATTTTACTAAACTTGATTTTTTGGCGAATTGGACTTTTTTTTATTGAAAATATTTTTTTTTTTACTAAAATGAAATTACTTTTACTGAACACTATGTAAAGGTTAAGTAAACATGACCTAAGTAAAGAGTAAATTAGTCTACATAAATGTTCAAAAAATATTTATACACATTTTGTACGGATGAACAAACAAAAAATTGCTTATTCCAAGAGAATGAGCAAAACAATTTGTAGTTTTGTGCAAATGAGCACAATAAGGCCCTATTCTTTTGAGTTGTTCTGCTCTTCTCTACCCTGCTCTTCTTTGCCATGCTCTGCTTAAAAATAATAATTAATAATAACAATATTTAATACTAATAACTAAAAGTTATAGATAATAATAATTAATATTTAATAATAATAATAATTTATATATAATATTAATTGATAATAATAACTAATATTTAATGATAGTAATTCATATTTTATATTATTGAACACATTTTCTAATGTTATAAAAAGAGTAAAAAAAATCTAAAAAAAAAATCAAATAATAATAATAATAATAATAAAAATAAAAATAATGTGATAATAATTATAATTATAATAATAATAATAATAATATATAATAATTAATGATAATAATGCAATAATAATAATAATAATAATAATAATAATAGTAATAATAATAGTAATAATAATAATAATAATAATAATAATAATAATAATAATAATAATAATAATAATAATAATGATGATGATGATGCTGAAATCTGCTCTACTCTTTCCTGCTCTACTGTGCCCTGCCTGCTCTGCTCTTCCTACAAGCTCCAAAGAACAGGGCCTAAATATTGTTGCTTGCTTTAGTAGTTGATTTAATAAAAAAGAGTTGCTTGCTTTGTACAAATGAGAAAAAAATGTGCAAATAAGTAATTATGAATTTATGATTATATAAATAGCCGCTAAAAAAGAGGGAGTTTAGTGTTATTTTTTTTAATAAATTTTTTAAAATGGTATAATCACTACCACGATAATACAAATTGATCACGCACACTAGTAACTAAACAATGGATTTGTTTCAAAAAAAAAAAAAAAAAATTATTTGCTAATATTGGTCATTTATTTCCTTACCTTTACAAAATAAATTAAAATGTACTACCCATAATAAATTAAAATATATAAATTTGATGCTCCCTCTTATCTAAATAAGTGTTTATTTGCCTTTTACACTATTCAATTACTAACTTTGACAGTATATAAAAACCAAATGTTGTTATGTAAACTTATTAGAATATATTAGTCACAATATATAGACTATATTAGTCACAATGTATATTTTCATAATATCAATTACTTAAATGTTAATAAAAAAAACAAAATTAAAGATATAAATGGTCCAATTTGTGCAATGGCACTTGCGTCAGCCACAATAATATTTTTGTTGTTTTTTTAAGTGCCCCAGTTTGATCAACATATTTGTCAACCCGTTACTTTGACCAATAAATTCTTTAATTAACAATAACTATAGAATATAAATGGTTTATATTCAGAAACTATACATTAAGACGATTTTAACAATTACTTAGATGACTATGTTTGATCTTAAGTACGTATAAAAACATCAACATTAGTAAAAATGGTGTAATGAATAGTGCTAGAAGTGAAAGTGGAACATTTTTTTTTTAAAAAAAAAGGTACACTTGACTTTGTTACTTCACCTTAATATTGTTAAAATTATACTCTTTCTGTTTTTTCTTAAGCTAGAGTTGAATTTGCACATATGCCGAGATACAACTTTGACCATTAATATCTTTAATTCGAGGTTAGTAAAAAATTATGAAAACGTTAATTTATAAAAGTTACACTATGACAATTTACAACATATTATATATATGATCATATTTATATATTATATATTGGTAAAAAAATTAAATCAATAATGACATATGAATAGTGGAAAATCCCAACTCTACCTTATAAAAAAATGGAGCGAGTACCATTAGAAAATTTCAGGCCAGATCATATCATCGTTTTAATTCTATTCGCTTATTGTCATGCATCTTTATTTCCGTATTTGTAAAAATTACGAAAATTAATATGTATGAAAAATAAACGTTGAGACGAATCTAACAAAATCTCACTTGATAATGAATTTTTATACATTGATATACAATTATTAGACAATCAGATAACATTAACATTAAGAAATATTCAGATCAGATCAAATCATAACTTTAAAAAATTAGTGGAGGTGACCAATATGGTTGAGAATATGATGTTAGTTTAATACTTTAATACCCTCACCCCCACATGATTTGGTTCAACTTTTCTCACGGGATTATGCTGACTGACTCCTTCCATCTCCCATCTCTAAGCAATTGCCCCATTAAATATTCCAGTGTTCCCTCTCACTCCACTCCACTCCACTCCACTCCCTATTTTAGCAAGCAAAACCGTTGGATGATGTGATCAACTCATTACTTAGTCAGCCTTCTTCATTTCCATTCTCATCATTTTTTTATTTTTTTTTTTACCGTTATTTTCAAGCTACTCTTCTTGATACTCCCCACTTGTCTTCCTGCTAAAGTCACTCCCTCTCTACTCAACCTCTCTCTCTCTCTCTCTCTCTCTCTCTCTCTCTCTCTTTCATAGTCTAACCAACACCAACTTACTCCTTATATAATTACTTGATCCAAGTACAGGTAGAAGATAACCAAAATCAACAACTATGTCATCTAAATCCCCTGTTTTCTCCATGCTTGAACCTAACCATTTCAGCGATTACGGCTTCGACCCTCAGATCGATTATTTCCAGGTATCATTTTCTTACTCCTTCCGTTACAAATTAATTGATATCGCTAGTTTATACACCTCATAAATAAGCTCAATACACTAATAACGTATCAACTAAATCTAGACCCGGCAGATTTATTATTTATTACATTACATTTATAATTGTTATTAGATTTGTATTAATAGTCAGTGACTAACCTCCCTCCCGTGATCTCTAAATGTTCTTCGTCCGTATTTTTTCACATTTTTGAGTGTCATGTGACAACTGAATTTGGACGGAGTAAAATAATATCAAATTTTTGATTGAAGGTGTTGGAGGAGGCGAGGAAGCATAAGAGGGAAACAACAACAAGATCGATAGACACCCTCCATTTCAAGCTCCAAAAACCAATCTCAAAAGACGACGCAAAAAAGTGTTCAAAGAAAAAGAGGCGTCAATGGTGGTGGAAGAACGCAGTGCTCTTCTTCAAGACTAAATGGGCCGCCCAACACCAAAGACCAAGCCCACTTGACTACCACCACCACCAGCAGCCTTACAAAGGTGGGTCCATCTCCGGCCCAATTTACTTCACCGACAGCTTAATTGGGTCGGAGCCCATTTCTCCTTGTCGGACCACCAGCCGCCCAACTTCCGGCCCAATTGCCGGAACACTGACACCAACAAGGAAGGGTGATTTGGAGATCCCGTATATCAGTCTCAAGGATCTTAATATGGAACCGTCGCACGTGATCTCTGCTGCTCCCATGCCTATTTATTTAGTTACTTAATTTAATTAAATAAAAGTTTAAACAGACTAATATGTCCTTTTTGGTGATGAGAGTAACATATTTTTTTTTCTTCATTTTTTAAGGAAAAAAAATGATTTAATGAGATTGGGATTTTATTAAGGGAAACAAATCTTGGGTTTTATTGGGATTAATTAGGTTAATGAGATGGTTAACTTTTTAATTATTTTTAACATAAAAAAAAAAAAAAAAAAAAAAAAAACTTTTTGAATTTTTTTCCCTTTTGGTTGTATTTTTTTGCACAAAAAAATGTTCTTTGTGCAAAGGCTTCTTTTAGATGAGTGTTTATTTAATATAATTATAATGGTGTTGGACCGCTCGGTTAAGCTTTTACTTTGACTGAGGTGTGTTTTTGTCCTAGATGTTGACCTGCATCAGAAATAAAAGCATGGAGCGGGAAACACGACGTCGTTTCTTTTTTCACTCTTTATGTTGGAAAGGGCCGTTAGCTTTAGCCCTTAGCTAGTTATTTTATCTATTATTGTTAATTGTTTTGGTCCTACATAAATTGTAATGTTAGTTATGGAAGTGATTAGCTTGGATTTTCAGTTGATTTGTGACTTAATTTATTACAGTATCATTTAATCTTATCACCTTTCCCATGTTCTTTCTCTAACAAAAAGGTAATTTTGAATACACTATTTTATATATAGTTTTCGGAAGAGTTGTGGAGGGATACCCTTTTTTTTTTTTTTTTTTTTTTTAAGAACAAAGAACATATTAGGAAACCCTCCTTAAGAGGGGAATTCGTAATGCGTCGGAAGAAAGGACGGAAATTAGAAAAGAATTATTACAAGGAACATTATTTATACTTTCACCAACTAAATAACTAACAATATTTCTAACATGTACTCCGTAATTCTAATACTCCCTCCGCCAACTATTATCTGCAACATATACTATATTTGGGTGCTCTTTATTATGTGCAACAAATGTTTTTCTTTTCATTTTTAGTAAATTTTAAAGAGTAAAATGACCAACTTACCCTTACTTTATTTTAACAACTTTGTTTAATATTTTATAATCACAATTACTTACCAACTAATCAATCCAATAACTGTAATCCTTTCCACCGAAATTCAACCCCTTTCATCCCCCTTTCATCAAAAATCACTCATCTTCCCAACAACCTCATTCAATGTAGTGCATTGAATTCCTCTCGATTATGTTGTCCAGTTTGCTTCAAAATTGCAGAATTCTCCAGAACTTCAACCCTGAACTAAGAAGTTCTTTGGTTTTCCCTCTTCTCTCTCCTCATGCGATTTTCTTTTCTGGCTCTCATTTTGTAACACCCCAATAATTCTCTCTTAAAAACCTGTAAATACCTTTAACAATTTGCAAGAGAATTACTAACGTACTACAACCACGTGTTCAAACGTTAAGGCTAGTTTAGAATTTAATAGCGGAAAACCTAACTCAGTTATCAATAAGTTTCAAAACCAAAAATCAAAACCAAATTTAGTCTTACTAGTTGGAACCATTAAGGCCCTTATTCAAAACCCAATAAAAGTAGTATATAAATCAAACCAGAGTTAAAATAAATCCAAACTTATAAAATGGAATAAACTGTGGAAATATCCAACACTCCACTCAAAATCCCACCACCTTTGTTTGGGGTAAAATTACCCCAGCCACGTGGCCCAATGGCTGAGCGACACGTGGCACCTTGTCATTAGTTAGCAGGGCTCCAATCCCCTGCTGACACGTGTCCTAGGAACCCTAAATGGGGAACCAATGCTCCCCACTATAAGTAGTGGGAGAATCCTCATTAATGGGGCATTCAATTTATATTCACTGACATGCCATTGCATTCAAGACACTTACACCAAAACCGAGCAATATTAATTACGGAACTCTCTCATTACGCAAGAAGCAATTACTCTTTTATGTATTTTCCTCCTCCCGTACATCACTGACTAGATCGTCGGAGGCGGAGCTCCACCCAACTGGAGTCTCCGTGGTTTTGCAGGTACAGGCGGTCGAAGGTCATTCTTGGAATTGTAACTCTCCCGCAGGACACATCAAAAAACCCCGAAACATTTGGCGCCGTCTGTGGGGAGAGTACTTCTGAGATGGCTTCTAACCCTGTACCACCGGATTAGGACAAGCGGCCATCGGCCGAGCCTGAGGTCCAGACAGACCATGAAAGCGATGATGATTACGGACTCGACACCTATGTGGCCCCAGACGGGTCCTTCAGAACAAAGCACACCCGCTCCAGGGATAAGAAGGAACGGGAAAACATCCAAGCTGCTCCAAGCAACCCAGCCGACAACCCGGTTGGAGCTGCACAGGCGGCAGAAGGCTCTGCTCCCGTCACAAGGAACGAACTCATGACCTTCATGAATAGTTTCAAAGGCGAAATCCAGAGTCTTATTCGGTTAGCTACTCCCAAGAAGAGTCAGCCGGCCAAGAATCCTTCTAACAAGAAGGCAATCAAAGACCGGGTCCCTACCCCTCATCCAAAGCCAAAGGAGGGGGAGGGCCTCAGGTTCGATCAAAACCGTCTCCGCTTCCCGCAAGCGGAACCCAGAAAACCCATCCGGCACTTGCAGCCGGATGGTTCAAAAAGGATATTCTCTGACGCCCGGACGTTTCTCCAAGAAAAGAGGAGTCTGGCGTCTGCGTCGGCTTCAACGTCGACCTTTCCAGACAGTTTCCGTGACACCTCGAACAGGCGTACGGGAACAAGTCTAGGGAGTCAGACGGGCGAACCGTCCGCCCGATCTGGACCCCAAGTGATCCAACCTGGTCTATTTGGTTCGCCGAATGGGCTGGGTGGATCCCCTTTCACCCAAACGGGGCCGTTTGGCAGAAATATGCAGCAACCGTTCCAGCTCATCGATTGGCAGCAGCGCCTACTTAATTTGGGAGAACAGCCCTCGGCGTTCTCCCCTAAGATAACCCAGGCGGCACAGCCGGCTAATATAAAAAACGTGTTGGTAGGGGCCTATGATGGTACCTCCAACCCAGAAGATCATTAATGGCTTATTCCAACCTCATGTACCTACAGGGGTTGGATGATGCCGTCTGGTGCCGATGCTTCCCGGCTACCCTGAAGGGCATTGCCCAACGGTGGTTCAGTAACTTACCAGCCGGTTGCATCAACAGCTTCAAGACCTTGGCGTACTTGTTTACGTCAAACTTCTCAATGAACATCCCGGCTAAAAAGACAAGCCTCGATCTGGGGGCAATACAGCAGGGTGACAGAGAAGGGCTCCGGTCGTATGTCAGGCGGTTCAATCTGATGAGAATTCAAATTCAAGGGTTGCCTGATGAAGTTGCTTACACATACTTCTTTAAGGGTCTGAAGGATGGGTCAACCTTCAAGTTTAACCTCGTCTGGAAAAGGGTAGCCACCCTCCAAGAGGCGTTAATGGAAGCTGAAGCCTACATACAGGCGACGGAGCTTTGTGCTGTAAAGCAGCCGTCGGATTTCAAAAAATCCGACAGAAGAGACAGCCGACAACAACAACAACAGCCGGCTAAAAAGGAAGAAAAGAAGAGAAAGGAGGTCTGGGCGGCAGACCGATCTGGTCAGCCGGCTCAGAAGCTCAGACGGAAATCTGAACCGTACGTTCCCAAGTACGAGTTCACAAAGGACTGCTCCTCCATCCTCATGGAGATTAAGGACCGGATTTCTCTCGACAAGCCGGCTGTTATGAAAAGCCCCGTAGGCAGCCGGGACAAAAGCAAATACTGCCAGTACCATGAGGATGTTGGCCATGACACCAATGGTTGCTATAGCCTCAGGCGGCTATTAGACCGTCTGGCTGATGAAGGGGCTCTAAAGTCTTATCTGCCCAAAGCCAAGGGCAACACCCTGGCCAAGAAAGGGCAGGCGTAGAAAGTTGTTCTTGCAAATTCAGAAACGGATGAGGAGACCATCTTCACAATAGCAGGCGGCTTTGCCGGAGGGGGTCCCACTATCCGGGGCACCAAAGATAACATCAGGAAGCTGGTTAACTCAGTTGAGGAGACCTAGGCGTTGAAAGACATCTTTCCTGAGGTCCTTATTTCTGAAAAGGACCGAGGCAAGGTCAGGCGGCCTCACGATGACCCCATAGTCATCGAATGGTTGCCAATCAGAGAGTTGGCCGGGTCTGAATAGATATCGGGAGCTCGTCTGACCTAATCAGTTATCAGTGCTTGACCAAGCTCAAGTACAAATCCAATAGCATGCACCAGGCGCCCCACCCGCTTGTTGGTTTTGGGGGAGGTGTAGTGCATCCGGTAGGGAGCATAGATCTTCCCATCCGGCTGGGTGAAAAGGGGGAAGGACGCCACATGGTGATAAAATTCTTGGTTGTAGAAGAGCTTGCCGCCTACAACATGATTTTTGGTCGTCCGACCCTTAATGAGTCTAAGGCTGTCATCGTTCCTTCTCTCATGCTTGTCAAATTTGAAAAGGACGATGGTACAGTCGGTTCCCTTAAGGGAGACCAGAGAACGGCTAGGGAGTGCTATCTCTCTGACGTCAGACCTACTATGGAGACAGCCGGAGACGGCAACCCCATAGACCTTGATAACTGCGATACAGCAGTCCCGGCTCCAAGGGCAGCCGGTAAGAAAAGAAAGGCGGGCCATACGGATCCCGTCAAGCAAGAAAAATAGCAATCACTAGCCGGGGAAAGGTCAGATGATCAACGACCTCAGCCGGCTGGTGACTGCATTGATGTCGTCCTCGACGACAGCCGTCCTGACAGAACTGTCAAGGTTGGGACGGTTGCTTATGAACGGTTGGGAGCAGACCTGCTCCAACTTCTAAGAGAATTCAAAGAAATCTTTGCCTTTGAAGTGGAAGAAATGCCAGGCGTCAGCCCGGATCTAGCTGTCCACAAGCTTGCCGTGGATCCTAAAAAGAAGCCGGTCAGGCAGAAAAAGAGGGATCACGGTGAAGAGAGATCTCAGGCGGTAGCGGCTAAGGTCAAAAAATTGTTAGATGCTGGGTTCATCCGGCAATGCTACTACCCGGATTGGGTAGCAAACGTTGTCCTCGTGAAAAAGCCGAATGGTACCTGGCGGATGTGTGTAGACTACACAGACCTGAACAGAGCATGCCCAAAGGACAGTTACTCGCTTCCAAAGATCGATAATCTGGTCGACTCTACAACCGGTCATGCTCTGATGAGTTTCATGGATGCCTACTCAGGTTTCCACCAAATACCCCTATGGAAAAAAAGATCAAGAGAAGACGGCCTTCGTCACTGATCAGGGGCTATTTTGTTACAAGGTGATGCCGTTTGGGTTAAAGAATGCACCGGCTACATTCTAGCGCATGATAAACACCGTTTTCATCAATCAGATTGGCAGGAATGTAGAGGCGTACATTGATGACATGATAGTCAAATCCAAGCTACAGACGGATCACCTACTGGACCTCCGAGAAACATTCACCACACTCAGACGGCACCGGGTCATGCTTAACCCAAAGAAGTGTGTATTTGGTGTTGAGTCTGGGAAGTTTCTCGGATTTTTGATTGATCAAAGGGGCATAGAGGCTAATCCGGAAAAAGTACAGGCGGTCATTGACATGCGGTCTCCCCGCACTGTAAAAGAAGCCCAGAAATTGACCGGTTTCCTGGCGGCGTTGGGAAGATTTCTCAGCCGGTCAGGTGACAAGTGCCTCTATTTCTTCCAG